TTCGGTCCCGTGGTGTAGCGGTTAGCACTCAGGACTCTGAATCCTGCGACGTGAGTTCAAATCTCACCGGGACCTAGTCTTTTGCGCAAGGTCTCTAATACTTCGTCATTGTCAGGAGGGCTTTGCGATGATGATAGAATGGAAAACAGTTCTCAGCGATGCGAATGCGATTGGTTCGGTCCCGTGGTGTAGCGGTTAGCACTCAGGACTCTGAATCCTGCGACTTGAGTTCAAATCTCACCGGGACCTAGTCTTTTGCGCAAGGTCTTCAATACTTCGTCATCGTCAAGAGGGCTTTGCGATGAGGTTAGTATGGAAAACAGTTCTCAGCGATACGAATACGATCGGTTCGGTCCCGTGGTGTAGCGGTTACCACTCAGGACTCTGGATCCTGCGCAAGGTCTCCAATACTTCGTCATTTTCAGGAGGGCTTTGCGATGAGGATAGAATGGAAAACCATTCTCAGCGATGCGAATGCGATCGGTTCGGTCCCGTGGTGTAGCGGTTGGGGGTACACAGGGAGGGAATGAGCATATGTAAAGTGCGGTTCATAATTATACGAACACGCAAAATTTTGTAAGTTTTCGGACTTTTTGGGAGAAGCTCAAAAAGCCGTTGGTACCACGCGAAAGAGCACAACCGATAACGGTATATGATCCATAAGAATGGAAATCGATGTCAATCTTAGGAGTGTTTTTGCGCTTAATGCGATTTTTTAGCGGTTCATAATTATACGAACACCTCAAACAAAGGTCCATTTTGCATTCAAGATTGCAATCTTTCGAGTCCAAATTTTTTGTAGAGTTACAGTAACAAAGTCTGACATATGTGCTACCACTGAACCCAGTGCAGTTCAAAAAGAGGACCGTTATTTTTTTCAGAAGGCTCTAAATGCTTTTGGAGTGATTGCGCTCCAAAAACATCCGTTCTTCTGTGGTTTACGCGCTCTAATTAGCTTCTACCAAAGCTATGAGATAAAATAAGCTCTTTCGATAGGTATTTTATTTGACGCTTGGAAAATCTTTGCGTTTTCGCGCCGTTTTTCAACCAAGTTCCAACCTTATCACATAGTTAGCACGATTTGAGCCTCAAAATTCAGCTTCTGAAGCCGTACAATGAAGTAAGCATATAGTATGTAGAAGTTCACAAGACACTGTATTTGGCTAGAAAAAATCAACAGCATTGAATTTGTTTCGGCCACGCAGACTTCATTTCACCAAAACCACTGTTTTTACTATAGCAATCACACCTTTATTTGATTTACAGCTCCACAGCCTCAAGATCAGCTCTACAAAAACCCAAAAACTTTGGCACAGAAACATCATCATGCAAACAATGCAGCTGCTTCATTATCGAATGTTTGCGCAAGAAAGAAGCTGAGTTTTGAGGCTCGAAATCGTGCTAACTTTAAGGTGAGGTTGGAACTTGGTTGAAAAGCGGCACGAAAACGCATAGATTTTGCAAGCGTCAAACAAAATAACCTATCGAAGAAGCTTGTTTTATCTCATAGCTTTAGTGGAAGCTAATTAGAGTGCGTGAACTACAGAAGAACGGATGTAAGGCATTTACAGCCTTCTGAAAAAAGTAACGGTCCTCTTTTTAGACTGCACTGGGTTCAGTGGTAGCACATATGTCAAACTTTGTTACTGTAACTCTACAAAAAATTTGGACTCGAAAGATTGCAATCTTGAATGCAAAATGGACCTTTGTTTGAGGTGTTCGTATAATTATGAACCGCTAAAAAATCGCATTAAGCGCAAAAACACTCCTAAGATTGACATCGATTTCCATTCTTATGGATCATATACCGTTTTCGGCTGTGCTCTATCGCGTGGTACCAACGACTTTTTGAGTTTCTTCCAAAAAGTCCAAAAACTTTCAAATTCAAGGTGTTCGTATAATTATGAACCGCACTTTACATATGCTCATTCCCTCCCTGTGTACCCCCAACCGCTACACCACGGGACCGAACCGATCGCATTCGCATCGCTGAGAACTGTTTTCCATTCTATCCTCATCGCAAAGCCTTCTTGACAATGACGAAGCACTGGAGACCTTGCGCAAAAGACTAGGTCCCGGTGAGATTTGAACTCACGTCGCAGGATTCAGAGTCCTGAGTGCTAACCGCTACACCACGGGACCGAACCGATCGCATTCGCATCGCTGAGAACGGTTTTCCATTCTATCCTCATCGCAAAGCCCTCCTGAAAATGACGAAGTATTGGAGACCTTGCGCAGGATCCAGAGTCCTGAGTGCTAACCGCTACACCACGGGACCGAACCGATCGCATTCGCATCGCTGAGAACTGTTTTCCATTCTATCCTCATCGCAAAGCTCTCTTGACAATGACGAAGCATTGGAGACCTTGCGCAAAAGACTAGGTCCTGGTGAGATTTGAACTCACGTCGCAGGATTCAGAGTCCTGAGTGCTAACCGCTACACCACGGGACCGAACCGATCGCATTCGCATCGCTGAAAACTGTTTTCCATTCTATCCTCATCGCAAAGCCCTCTTGACAATGACGAAGCACTGGAGACCTTGCGCAAAAGACTAGGTCCCGGTGAGATTTGAACTCACATCGCAGGATTCAGAGTCCTGAGTGCTAACCGCTACACCAAGGGACCGAACCGATCGTATTCGCATCGCTGGGAACTGTTTTCCACTCTATCCTCATCGCAAAGCCCTCTTGACAATGACGAAGCACTGGAGACCTTGCGCAAAAGACTAGGTCCCGGTGAGATTTGAACTCACGTCGCAGGATTCAGAGTCCTGAGTGCTGACCGCTACACCACGGGACCGAACCGATCGCATTCGCATCGCTGAAAACTGTTTTCCATTCTATCCTCATCGCAAAGCCCTCTTGACAATGACGAAGCACTGGAGACCTTGCGCAAAAGACTAGGTCCCGGTGAGATTTGAACTCACGTCGCAGGATTCAGAGTCCTGAGTGCTAACCGCTACACCACGGGACCGAACCGATCGCATTCGCATCGCTAAGAACTGTTTTCCATTCTATCCTCATCGCAAAGCCCTCTTGACGATGACGAAGTATTGGAGATCTTGTGTTTATGTACGTAATGAAGTGTGAGAGTATTCTTTTATGTGATTTCTTCGCCACTTTAGAAGTCGTTTTATGTGATTGCGCTAATTTTGCGATGTAGTAGAGGCGTGGCGGTTAAGACGAGCACAAAATAGAAAAAAAGGGTTTTGTATTTTTGAGCCTGCGATTGCATAGATTACTGTAAGGTTTATTTAAAAAGGCATCTGCGTTCAATTCGTCGTTGATAGGTCCGACAAATCCAAGGAAACGGTGCGAACTCCGTGATTTATCGTGTGCACAGGGCCGCGTTGGAGGCATTAGAGGGCATTAGAGGCAGTGTCTCACCAAAATTAGGATAATGCGTTCTCCACACATTCTACTAGAAGGTACCCTGTATAGGCCACTGCAGCAAGTTCGACTTGATCCGGCCCTTCTATGCCGAGAAAACTGCCCTCGACGTGGCCCGCAAAGTGCGATTTGGCCATCACGGCCGACGCTGCCGGTTTCCCCTTTACGCGTTTTAACATGTCCCTCCGCTTGGCGTCCACCTTATTGTGTTGCTGCTACTGTGGCGAAGGCTGAAGTTAGGAGGCACAAGCCGTCCACGTTGCTTTCGCGGGGCCTTTAGGAAACGGGGTTTTTGGGAACTTAGTGCGGTTTTGAGCCCTCACAGTGTTAGACGAGGCCCATTAAGTAAAATGCAAAAATCTTGGCAACCAAATTTTGGTGAGACACTGCCTTTAAGGGTGTCACAAGGGAAGTCCAGCTTCAGGCTCCGCAGATTTTCCTTGCATGCTGCTTATGATTTGTTTATTCTCACTATTTCGTGTAGAACTTGGAGTAGGAGTGAATAAGATTTGAAGCACTGGCATTTCCAGGTCAGAAAACACAAAATCTTTTCTTATTTGTGCAACCGTCTTGACCGCCACTGTCGTGCTCTGCTAAAAATTGCAATGGTGCAATCACACAGAATGTTAGAGTGATGACGACTGTATCTTTCTTGGTCCCCGCTCTGAATTAATTCATAATGAACAACGTGTCCATAATCTATTGACCATACTTTATATATTGCTTTCCTGAGATGTATTCAATCCCACACGTTTCCCTCAGTGCAAAGATTGTAGCAAACTTTTATAACGTTTATTTGGCGACGATGCACATATTGGCACAAAATCAAATTTTCGGTAGGATGAGCTCACAAAAGCGGTTTGTAAACAGTGTGCAACGATCTAGGACAACATTAAGCAATAGCACCAAAGACCGGATAGAAATTTGTAGAGGTTAATACATTGTTTGCTATTGTCTACATGGTCTGAATGTGAGCTTGAGCAAGAAGCGAAAGTGTTGAAAGGATATTGATGCCTGTACGTTTCAGTAGGCGATAACGAATTCATGAAGAATAATTACGTTGGGTACTTGAACCGACGAAAAGCTTCTAAGCGCCATTTGCAAAAATTGCAAGTTACAACGACACATAGAGCTTGTAAATCCAGGAGTCACTGCGACAATTATTGTTAAAAAATTCATAATCGGAAAGAGATCAAGATTACTGTTTTACAGTGCTTCCCAAACAAGCATTTCGAGTCGCCTGTACCAGCGGCGAGCTAGCGCCGTGCCGGTGCCGCCGATCGATCAATACGAAGCGCTCCATGTAGGAGTTGGCACGGCGCTGGCACAGGGCAACTCTGAACGCAGCCTAATTTCAATACATATGCTAATTGTAAGTAGATCAAGTAGAAATGAGAGATCAGGGCAAGTTAGGCGAGATCACGTGGCAATAAGAGATCAAAAATATAGATCAAAAGCAGTGAAGGTAGAATGAACTCAGGAATGCGCTGAAAATTTGTTGTTAAAATTGTTTTATCAATAGAAGGCTGGACGCCCAAACCGGGTGTGGCGACATGAGGTGAAAAGCTGCTGAGTACAAATAATATGAGTTGTTGGAATCGAATCCATCGTTAATAGTCAGTCGAATATGTCTTCAATTCACTAAATACTTCGGTGAAGAACGAGGAAGACGAATTTAGACGAAGCATGTCCTCGCTATGACTGGTTACTATATTCACGCATCGTTCCCAAAATTTATCTCTATCCTGCAAATTTGCCAAAAATGCTTATAAAATCGGTTTCTCGGAAAGTCAGGAACTCTTACCACTTCAATAAGGAATGGCTTTAACGGGTATGAGATCTCATTTCCCATATATGAATAGCTGATATATAGGCACGTCAGAACCCATGCGTGCAAATCATCCACGGTACGTATCGAATCTTCGTCTAAAGAACATGACATTGTAAGATTACTGGACATAACGAGCAATGTGAGATTTCTCCGAACGGATCAGTCTTACCTGGAATGACTTCCCTGACGATTAGAAACACAAATACCAAATTCGCTGGATTGATGAATGCAACGTCTTGCCAACCCTGAAGTCGTTTTATTGTGAAGGAGATAATTCTTCGAATATACAACCGACTAGTCTACAATTTTGTCAAAGTAAACAAGCGGTTGGTAAAAAGGTACCGTTGGCGTAGTTGTTTATGGCACCAACCAACATGACCATTGAGATCAAGATTTAATTTTAAACTGTACCAACCAAACCTTTTCATCCTTAGAGAATATTTCTTAGCAAAGGATAAGGCAACGAAAGCCGTTAGTTTGAACCGCTTCCGCGGACTACTGGTCTCGAAACCCACATGCAACGACACTATAACAGGACCAGCTGGTCGCGAAAGGCAGCTTAAACTGGCGGTCTTCGTTTCTCTACCCCTTAGCGAATATTTTGGGAAGATCAGATATTGGTAAAGGTCGCTAGCATTTTTGCATAGGCAATTTTCCAAGGAATAAAAACAGTAAATCCTTTAGCTTGAAATAGAATGTATGTTGAATATGTTATAACTCAGACAATCGATCGGACCCCTCCGCCGGACCCTCGGAAACTGCCAGGGTCGCGCCGGACCCAGTTGACCAATGAGAGAAGGGCAAATGGGCGGTCCATCGCGGTGGCATCACTGGCAGGCAAATGGGAGGCTTCTCCGGCCCTGCTGCAAAGGTCCGCCATTTCTCCGGCGCGACTCTGCCAGATTTGACGGACTCCGCGCCGCAGAGGTCTGCGCGGCGCGTGTCCGCCAAATTTGGAAGACACGCGCCGGAGAAAATCGGAGGGGTCCGGAGCAGAAATGGGAGGTATCCGGAGCAGAAAATGGGAGGTATCCGGAGCAGAAAATGGGAGGTATCCGGAGCAGAAAATGGGGGGTATCCGGAGCAGAAGATGGGAGGTATCCGCCGGAGAAATGGGAGGTATCCGGAGCAGGCTGCGTATCGATTTGGCGCGTAGCAAGCAAACGTCTAACTCCACGGTGATGAGTCCTCTGTTTACGCTCTTTGTCCATATTTTAGTCGCCGTTTATTTGATTCTGTTGTTTTTGCGCGTTTCTTTACCGTTTTTTCCTTTTCCGCGTTGCTCTTCGTCGCGTTGGCGTTTATGTTGCTGTAAGTTCCTCGTTTTCAGGTTTATGTTTGAAATTTTCGTGCGGTTGCACTCAATCACCTTCAGTGTTTGGCTCTTTCCGACTTGCTGAGACATCGTAGACTATTGATGGAGTGGTTTTTGTGGTTAATTCTGGATTTTCGAAACAATGAGGTTAGTTGCGCAACTATCTAGTGTTGTTGTGATGAAAGTATCGTCTAAATAATCCGTTTATTGCTATAGTGTGGACCCCGGCCAGGTTCCCATAGGTACCTCCGCGGCGCGCCCGCAGCGCATGCCTTCAGTGCGCTTTTCGTTTCGGCTCTGAAGGGATTTCTTTCAATTTCCTCTTTCAAGTGTGTTTGTTCTCTTCTGTAATCTCTACTTTAGATGTAAACGACACACGTTAACTGCTGGTGATGGATTTTTACGAGTCTTGACAGTCTTGCAAGAATTTGTTTCGAAAATCTTGTTTTTTTCTCAATAGTGAAGATTTCGGTGTAGTTCAGAGACATCTCTCCAAAGGTTGTTCAGAATAAGTGTATATGCAGTTGATTTTGTGGAGTGTAGATGCTTCTAGCCTTTTGTTACACCATCAGAGCTTTGCAATCGTGCTCTTGAGCTCAAACTTTCTGGGTTTTTTTATGACCAGAAGAAAGACTTTTCAGAATTGTTCTTCGACTTTTCCTGTTACTTCTATCATCCATCGCTGGTAGTGTCATACACTACTAGCGATGGATAATAGAAGATTCCAGTTATCTATGAGATTGACTGGAATCTGAGCGCTAGTAGTAGAAGTTGTGAAGGTTCCCCTATTGCCTTGGCTTTTCTCGTGTTCGGATTAGAGGCCTCCACATCTCATTTCACTCCTGTTTTTGGTTATAATGCTTTTTTGTTCGTAAGTGAAATGAGAAGCGTTCAAGTCGGGCGCGCGTTGCGTGTGCGCCGCGCTAGTACCTATGGGAAGCTGGCCGGGGTCCACACTATCTCTCTCGTACGTATGCTTACCAAGTCGATCGACTTTTCATCAGACGTTGCAGATCCTCACTATATCGTTTCTGGCTTGAAAGATAGGACAAGGCAAGAGATATGTTGACAAAAGTCTTGGAGGCAACTCCAAACGATGTTGAAGTTTTGTGACTGTTACCGAAGTTTTGTGACTGTTACTGAAGCATTGTGACTGTTACTGTTGCTTAGTCACATCACATTGCTTCCAGTATTGCTTAGCGAGATTAGGACTGACTGATAAGGCTAGGTAAGCATGTAAATGTGAAATGTTTGAGTCACATAGCTTCTTCTTTACTGTTTATGTGACTTTCAATTACAATTTGCAGAATCGCTTTTAAACGAGAGTTGCAATTGCAAAATGACAATGTTTGTGCTCTCTCAGCACTTGCCATTTTGGATTACAATACGCATACTGTCGAGGGAGCCCAAAGTGCAGTGGCTTGTCTAGGCCAAGCGTATAGTCTGGAGCCGGAGAATCCGGTTGTCTTGGTCCATCTTGCCAACCACTTCTTCTTCAAAGGAGTCAGTGCAGAAATTCTTTGAATTAATTACGAATTATCTATAAAAGGGACCTTTTAAATTTGTCCAAGCTGTTACATCGAGGTGTTTATCGCTTTATCTGAAGGCATCACTTTTTCAGGAAATGAACAAGGTTGAACGGTTAGCGTGGCATGCAATGAGTATGACGGAAAGTGTCGAAATCAAGGCCGAAGCTTGTTACATTCTTGCGCGGTTTTTCCATTTCAACAGAGACTATGAAAAGGCGTTCAAGGTAAGTTGCATATGCAAGAATTTCAATCCATGTCATCATCGTGTCCTAGTACTATTATCAAGCAACTACGTTGAATCATCCTACTTTCGTTTTGCCCCAGTATGGCCTTGGACCTCGGAATTCGAAGATGTTTGGATGAATATAGCTCATGTATATATCGCACTGGACAATATGTCCCTGCTTTGCAAATGTGAGTTTATGGCGTTCCTCGCTGTTTTGTTTCATGTTGCACAGAATGCTTTTTTGATCTTTTTGTCATTTTCTTACCATGTTAAAACCATATGCTTATACTGTGGTGTTACAAGGTTCTTTTTGCAACTAGGAAATTAGTTTTTCTTTGAATATTCTTATCTCTAACGGCGCCATCTATTCCTACCGGGCTGGCTGCGCGAGCGGTTCGCGCGCGGCACCCGTATAGCGTGGAGCGCGCATTCCTTCTTATGATTGCAACGTTGGATCAGATACTCTCTCGATCCAGGCGTACTGAGGAGGACTTTCGCTCCAAAACGTATAAGAAGTCAGCTAAAGGCAAGAAGATTATATTATAGAGACATTCATTTGTCTGCCACACCGTTCTCCCAAGATTACCTCTAATACCTCATTTTTCGAGGATTTCTTTGCTTTGTTGCTTAGAGGTTAATTGACTGGATACTTATTTCAACTCACTGATTTTGAGCCGCACTTGTGCTGTGTTTCTTGTTGTTAAGTCTCTTGATAACACGAAAAACCTTTCCAAAGTCATGGGACTAAGCTCACTTTCGCTAATAAGGTCCCATTACGACGGTGTACCAAATTTCCATATCACAAGTGAGATTACTTGCGTATGTTCTACCGTAAGGTCTAGTAGATATCTTGTCTTGTTTGTTGGAATTTGGTACGTAAGGTTTTCGATGTAGTCACCGATGTAGTCATACAGTAGATTTTGATGCTGTCGTTGCTTGCTATACTTTACGGTTTCATAAGTGATACCGACCAGCTAGATAGATTCTTGAAGGATTGTCCATCAAGCAATACTTTGCTTTTTCACGAACGCTTCTGACACGACTTTTACGAATCCATAACGGATATATCTGTTAGAGAGTAGTTAGTGCGAAGAACACACAAACGTAAAGTTCGAAGTCATCCAGGACATTTGTTGCAGTGTCAGTTCATCTAAAGTTTGGCTAAGTTGTATATTTTGTAACAATCAGTGATTCTTATTGGTGAGCATTAGCCGTTTTCTCTTCAGCTGCGAGCAGAACTATATGAATCCAAAAAGGCGATGCTAACAAGCTACTCGAAACACTTTCTGACCTCCTTATCTATTCATGAAGCATTCCTGCATAATGCTGATGTTGACGCTTACAAGTACCTATGGATCACTGGAAAAGAATCGGATTCGCTATTCCAGGAAGAGGCCAATAAATCGAAATCGTTAAACGCACAACGTTCTCTAACCTTTTCATATGCAGAAAAGCAATAAGTTCCAAAAAACCGAATAGGCTCACTGAGGAGGTGTTGGGTATCTTCGACCACATACTAGTCCAAGAAGTAGCAGTAAATCAGCGCAGCGGCTACTGAAGTGGAAGCCAATTCACCAACATCGCAACGCATACATCCTTCGTTATTCTGCGATATGCGCGAGAATCTTCGTTTGCACATTTGAGCCGATGAAAAGCGCACATGACATTTTCATATCCATCCAATGCGCGCCCCAATGCTACTCACGGGTGCCGCGCGCGAACCGCCCGCGCAGCCAGCCCGGTAGGAATAGATGGCGCCATCTCTAACTCCTAGTATGGTTTTTGTAATATGAATTAACTGTTGTACGTATGCTGGAGATAGATAGATAGATTTTTCGAAAGTTTGATAAATTTGAAATAAATGTCTTATCTCTTCGTTCTTTCTTCTATCTTCTATCCACAAACGCTAGGGGTGAGAGGGAGGGGGTAGAGTACGGGGTGAGGGTCGCGCTAAACTCCTACCCGGGGGGGGGGTCCTATTCGGCTTATTTGGGTGAGGTTTAGAGACAAAATTGGGGTTTGGAGCTTAAAGGCAGCGTCCAGGCAAGTCTGGACCTATGGGGATTTTACATGGAAAGTATTTTGGGGCCCTAACTAAGCCACTACCCAACCGGCAGCTCAAGTAGTGCTCTAACGTCTGAGATATTCTGCTCGAAACCGGACCCCGCGACTGTGTTTCGCATGGATTCATGGCGCAAAGCGTGGATCCTGGCGCGAAACTGCCATGAATCCATGCGAATACGTTCGCGGGGGTCTGTTTCGAGGGGAACATCTCAGCCATTGGAGCACTACCTGAGCTGCTGCTTCGGCAGTGCCTTAGTTAGGGCCCCAAAAGTACTTTCCATGTAAAAGCCCCATAGGTCCAGATCTGCCTGGAAGCTGCCTTTAATTAGGGCTAATTACAGTATGCCGCGATCGGGGGGCTCCGGCGCACAAAATCGGGGGGCTCCGGAGCAGAAAATGGGAGGTATCCGGAGCAGAAAATGGGGGGTATCCGGAGCAGAAAATGGGAGGTATCCGGAGCAGAAAATGGGGGGTATCCGGAGCAGAAAATGGGGGTATCCGGAGCAGAAGATGGGAGGGCCCCGCCGGACAAATGGGAGACCCACCGCTGGGGATACGCCGCGACCCTGCCACTTCTCCGGCGGAGGGGTCCGATCCGCTGTCTGAGAAGTAACAGACGCGGCGATATGTACGGATATAAACAACAAGATCTGGACTCGAAGGAGGTCTTTTTTGCTGCTTGGAAAGATTAAGATAATAAATAAGCAAGCTGACCAAAGCATAAGTTTGAATTTTATCTTTTTTTGCAGTGAGCAGTGCTTCGTATTTCTTCACAATATGCCCCTCAATGGATCGCAAAATCTTTGTAGCTGTCCACATGTTAAAGGCATCGTTCCAGGAAAGTCTGGGACACATGGGGATTTCACGTGGATAGTAATTTTGGTGCCCTAACTAACAATAAGCCACTGCCCAACCGGCAGCTCAGGTAGTGCTCTAACGGCTGAGATATTTTGCTCGAAACTAGATCCTAGGATCGCATTTCGCATGGATCCATGGTGCAACGAGTGGGTCCTCGCGCGACACCATGAATCTACATATGCCGAATGCGATCCTGGGGTCCAGTTTGTATATCTCAGCCATTAGTGAGTCGCCTGCGCTGCCGCTTGGGCAGTGCCTTGGTTGGGGCCCCAAAAATTTCTTTCCATGTAAAATCCCCATAGGTCCAGATCTGCATGGACGCTGCCTTTGAAGAACGATGCGAGTACAGTTTTCATTTGTGATTTGAAAGTTTTCTTGTCAAACATCAAGATTAGCTCTGTAAACTTTTGTAGGTTTGTGGCCGCTGTCCTTTTCGATAGTTTCAAGCTCAAGTGCAAAAGATTTGAATAAATTCTCAAAAAGTTTCGACGTAGCTAATTTGTCACTGTAATGTACCACATGTAAATATCATCAACTAAACTAAACTATGATACTTGTCTATAATGATTGATTATCAATCCTCTTTGAGGCGGAATAACTCTTTTTTCAGTTCGTTCCTCAGCGTAAGATTAGCGTAACAGTCACTAGTGGGAATATGTAAACTATGTATCTCACGTCTCAGTTGACCAGTCCTTACCTGGAGTAACAGTGCTCTATCGACGGTTCGTAGCCACATTACCAAATGTGCCGGTTCAAATGCAGCAACGTCACTGTTTTGAGCAATGAACTCTCCGAGGCCTCTCAATAGTTCAGAGGTCGATGCTTGAATGACAGTTCGGCGCCTAGCTGACTGAAACGAACGAAACTTGAACGAAAAAATATTGAAATCAAAACTAGGATTACTAACATGAATGTCAATGCTACTATTCGCTTTGGATGGTTTTTGCTCTGCATTCTTTTTACCGTTGATCACTCGTTGAACAGCAGTCACTCCATTTGAGGCTCTGAAATATCAAACACTTTATAAAACAAATATTAGGTTGATGCATAATTCCTGCATCAAAATAGGTACAGACAGCAATAACTCGGGATAATCCTATATCTCAAGTAGGATTCGATATATCATTAGATAGAGCAAACCTAGCTCTACAAAATAGTGCTCAAATATCTACACCAGCTTTGACCCACGCGTAGTTTTGAGCCGAAAACTGAAAAAAACCATGCGTCCGAAAACCTTAAGACCAATCAAAACAGAATTGTAACTTCGTTCAAAAAGCTCCTACAAAATTTCTTTCTTGCTCACGCGTAGTCATTCCACGTAAGACATCTATCTATGAGGTTGCTGTATTTCTTCTCAGCTAAACGATGAGAAAAGGGAGTTTTTCATGTTTTTGCCAAATTAGTGCTGAGATGTCTAATACTAACAGTTGTATAGCACATGCCATTAACAGTGAAACTTTACATTTTCAGCCTTCTAGAATAGCTAGTTCACGAGAAATGACGGATCTAGCTCTCTTCATCCGAATTTTTTTTGCCTAGTTGCCGAAAATTCGATATTTCTCGTAAAGCAGCTGCTGTAAAAAGCTGAAAATTCACATTTACGCTTCTAAGGTCCTATAGTATACAACTGTCAGCGCTAGAACATCTCAGCATTGTTTTGGAAAAAAACATGAAAACTTCGTTTTCTCAATTTCTAGCTGAGAGAAAAATACAGCAACTGCATAGAGGAATGTCTTATACGAAACGACAATGCATGGCAAGTTAGAAATTTCAAAATATTTTTCCGAACTAACTTTCAATTTTTTCTTGGTTTTTTGGGGCGCTTGGATCTTTTTCGTTTTTGGCTTCAATCTTCGCTTGGATCAAAGCTGCTGCAAAACTTTAGTCATCTTGTAGAGCTAGGTTTGCTCTATCTAATGATATATCGAATCCTACTTGGGATATAATAGGATTATTCCGAGTTATTGCGGTCTGTACCTATTTTGGTGCAGGAATTATGCATCAACCTAATAATATGGAAACAATAGAAGTAACTAGTTACCTTGTATGCGTGGGACTAAGTGGTGTTCGTGCCGGTGGACCTTCCGGACTTACCAAATTGTTATTGACAAAGTCTTGTTTGTTCAACCTTAACTCGCGTTTGATATCTTCGCGAATACTGTAGAAGTTCGGGATTACGGTAGTTTCTGGCTCATAACTAAACACAAAGATTTTCTGACTCTTCGAAATTCCAAGGAAGATATACCGTTTATAGTTTTGATTGTTATCCAAAGCGATTGGGATTTGCGAGTATGGCAGATCTCGTTGCATTCTATATGTAGTCATACTTTCTGTTGAGCGAGAGCCGATGTGGTCTGAAATGTCAAACTGGATTCTTTTGTAAAAATTTTAACATTATATTATCGTAGAATGATAATCGAAATGCCATCAACAAGCAATCTGATCTTCACGTAGACAAAAAAAAAGCTTATTATGGTCATCAAGTGAACTAGGTAGGATATATAATCTTTAGAGGATTGAGTCGTAATATATAGTTTATATTTTGTTGTTCAGGTAAGTAGAAAGAGGAGGAAAGTTTCCATTATGTTCCAAGCTGCGTCCGTGAAATGAACGCAATCAAATACATACCATTCATGCCTGGATTAGCAAGATTTAAGATTGGTTTTGATTCCGTTTTGCTGTTTTGTAAACATAAGGCAAAATGTTTTCTCAATATTTCGTATTTTCGACATGACTTGCCGTCCATAAATCTCTCGCACGCTTTCCTGAAAACACTCAACCTTTAAATCTTGTGTTTTTGCGTATAAATAGCAAATCATCGTAGTCCAAATCCACATTCAAAAACAAAAACGTTCCTGTTTGTTTCTCCGTTAAGAAAAATTCAATATTTTTGGTGGTTATTTCGAGAACTCTTGCGTCATATATATTGCAAAAATGAACTTGCATTGCGTGCAAAGCGGTGCAGCCACTAAGTTCTCGAATTTCTCCCTGAATTTTGGGAGCCGGCTACGGTAAATTCCCGTGCTGGTCGTAATTACATACCACATCGCAAAACAAACCAGTCTAGACAAGTCCTTAACTTGCAGCGCAATGGGTCACCCAAAAAGAAGAAATATTCAAGAACTTGATTCTGCAAATTTTTCAAAAAAAATCGTCCGCAAAATATTTTAGGCCCTCCCTTCTTATTAAGAAGAGAGGGCACAGAAAAAACCCTCAAAGATAGAGACAAAACAGAATTTTGAAATTTTGCCCCGAGAGGGCACAGAAAAAACCCTCAAAGATAGAGACAAAACAGAATTTTGAAATGTTTTGTACTTTCTAGTACGATGTATAAAAAAGCAAAAACGATCTTTGCAGTGATCGGTGATGTCAATTTAGTCCCAAAGTTATCAGTAGATTATATGAAGGGGTCTGCGGTAAAAAATGCAACATGACGAAAATATTTACTGAAGGCAATCTCACAAAATAGAACGATAATAACCTGATCAATTTATAGATCTTTATAAAAAGAATGTACCATGTGTCTCAAAATTACGTTGACAAATTTTGACCAAAAACTCTGCTGTTGTATAAAGATGCTTGTCAAAGAGCTTGATATCTTTTGAAAGCATTTTTTTTCTATTCGGCATACAACTTTTCGTTCAAACAATTATTGATTGTAAAATTGTTTATCTGAGAGGAGGTAATATCGACTAAGAAATGAAGAAAGAAAAAACTAATTTCATAAATTTTCTTCAGAGAGACTAGAAAAATTCAAAAAAGAAACAATCTTCAATCGCGCACAGAATACCCTGGGTGGAGCGTGCTGAATCACTTTGAGAGCTATCTCTCAAATTAAATGTATGCTGTGAGCCGCCATAAATCGACTTCTGAGTTTCGTCTAGAGCTTGGAGCACAGTTTCCAAAAAGACTACGTACGTATTTAAAAAGGAGGTCATCCTGAATAGTTGCTGATATGTGACTTTTACAAATTGTTTGGAAGAGGAGATCATAAACTACAAAATGGCATATAGTATATCATATAACCTCGAGTCATTAGTAACTCAATGTGTGAGACTGCACACTAAGCCCTATTAGCGACGGCACCCATACTAGTAACTTTCCAATAAAACATTTTTTAGATTAGCAAAGTGTAGAAGTGGTTCTATTGACAAACATGTAACCAACAAAAACAAAAGATCAAGAAAAGAAGCAGAAATCACAGAAAATGCGCATGTTCTAGTTTTGGAGTTCGTCAGTTAAAGTGTATAGTGTGCACTACGCGTATTAAGTTACAAATGACTATATGTCTCTATTTTTCGTTATTACATTACAGATCGAATGGTAATAGAGTCACTTTCATTCTTTTGCCATGCCCAAAAGGTTCTTCATGATTACATTACTAATAGAAAAGGCAAGAGGTCATTCCATTTTTTATCTGCAATGCTCACAATGAAAATTCAGTTTTGTACTGATATAGGTAGGAAAACGGTTGAAATCGGTGGTTTGAGAAATTTTTCATGATATATCGAGCTTGACAACGGCGAGCGCAGCGCAGCCGCAGCTGAATCGATACAGAGAGTCAATATACTGAACCGAAGTGACTCTTCTTTTTCTGTATAGCACTAGGCAGAGCTTCAGCAACGACTGCAGTATAATGAAGACACACAGATATGCCCAATGGATTACGGTAACGCTTCAAAATGACGTCGTCTCTAGCTTGCGTTGCGAAATAGCGACTTTTTGTAGAAGATAAATGAAGTTAAACGTATTGATTTTCGCTAGAATTGCAATTGCGTATTTAATACCGTAATATTACAGTACCTGCTCCTTTACCCATTGTTTTCTTTGCGACTGGTTGAATGTTCTTCTTGCTCCACTGCCAACCTTGTACTAAGACAGATTGCCGCTTTGGGACAAAAATTGGCGCATCAGGCGGAGAGAACAGATGATTGCAGACCTAGAATAACAACAAGTACAAAGGGGTAAAAAAATTCCAACAAATTTTTTCTCAATCTTCTCTTTTGACCTTTCTTTCATATCAATCAAGTGATTGCAAATGCTCGAATTTTATCTTTGTACGTCGATTCTTCGTTTGACCCACTGGCGGTCCCAGGATTTCCGTCTTGGGTTGGGGGGGGGCAATAAAAACTTTTCAAATGAAGGTGGACTGCAGCCACGCCCCGGAAAAATCTTTTTCGCAAGGCTAATTCAAAATTTAAAAAATTTCTAAAAATCAATTCCATTATTTAGAATAATAAACAAGTCACTTGCACATTTTTATACCATGTAAGTAAATTTCAACAATTTTACGACCCATTCACGAGGAATGCCCCCCCCCCTCCCTCCCTCTAATGCTCCCCCTTCCCTCGGTCCGCCACTGGTTTGACCTCATGCAAATATTGAGAAGTTGAAGTTTTTTCAACTTCAAATAATTATAATGGCAGAAAATAATGGCTATTACACACATAGTTTCCAAATGGCTTGAAAAAATCGTTAATGACTAGAGGCAGCGCAGCAGAAATTTCTCCGGAGGAGGGATGGAGGGGCAGGGGGGAGGGAGGGAAGAGAAAAGAATCTAAGCTATAGAAACATTTTATACGAAAAAGCCAGGAGTTACCCTCGCTTTGAAGAGTTTTAAAAAAAACCTCAATATTTTACAAACTACTTGTTTTTGAAAAAACGAGCCTACCATTAGCCATTCCCCGAACGAGTTCTTCTAAAGGAGAAGATATTTCAAAATATTTAGAAAATTTTCCAAATTGTTCACATATAACTGACCCACATAATTTTGAGGGCTAGATTCAGAAATTTTCTCCCTCCTCCACTTTCTTCTCCTCTCCGTTGCCCAATCGAAAATTTTAGCTCGCAGCCCTCCCCCTCTTTATTTTCTTCCTTCCCTCGAACAAAACTGAAGCGTCACTCACTGATGTTGGCGGTCGATGCGGTATCGGTGAAGTGAGGCTGGCGCCCATTATCTCGTCGCCGACAGCGCTGAAAAAGAAGTACTGCATGTGAATGGAGGCAATCTCGGGGATAAATTTGAACTTACATCTCTACAGAGGTCAGTTCACATGCAAACCGATATCCCGATCTACCGGTTGCTTTCCACTATCATGTAAATGTCATGTAGAGCTTGTCCAGTCGTGCTTGCGAATATTGTGGCTGAAGAAAGTGCGCAGAGTGTAAAAATGACAAAATTGACGTCACTTTTTTTCCAAAATGACGAATTCATTACGCGATATCAGCGAAGATAAATGTATACATAAAAGTTGAGAAAAGCATGAGTAGCTTAGAAGAGCATATCGATTTTTATTCAAGAAAAATTGTCCCGAGAGAAACATCAATACAAATCTTCTATTTCATCTTTATGCGCGGTGTTTTTTTTCCTCGAAAATTTCTTGAGCCACAAAATAGTCTATGCGCACTGCAGTATCACTGTAATGTGCGAAAGTCTAATATGATAAAATTAGCCTCTTAAAGCCAGATCTATGAATCTTGAAGCTGCGTTTAAAGTTGACCCAACAAGCGCCGTGCTAGCAGAGTTGAGAGTGCCGTTTCAGAGACTATGTGCCAGTGTAGTTCCAAAGTGATGCTAGCGCGTTTCTAGCGCCAAACAGTGCCGGAACGGCGCTAGCACGGCGCGTACGGCAATGACACGAGGTTGGCACGAAGTATGGACGCCGTGATTGATCGTCGAGCGCGCAGGTTGTTTTCTGTATCCATGCAAAAAGATAGATTGTAAGGGGAATCCCTGAGCTTGATCAGAATGAAAATTCATATTTAGTAAATAGTCGAAAGATAGAAATGCAAAAAGTCAATGACTGTATTTCTTTCTAAAGTGGGTGATTTGAAGATTGGAGCTGTGTTTTGTGGACAAACTTCTTGTAAAAAGCCGATTTTTTACCTCGATCAAAAATATACCTAAAATATACCTACCTTCTTATAAAATACCTATCTGAGCTGAGTACACTGCTAATGTAATCTTTGTACTCTGATTAAGTTTGCCAGCTAATGATGTTTCTCTACACTTCCCTGGTTGACGAATGAGTTCAACGTGAGTAGTACAAACTGACTCATTCTTGGATTTAAACTTCAACATTTGATTCAATAAGACATTAGTCCATGGAAAGGCAAATCAACTCAGCAGTAAAACTTCCCTGTTGATGTTTTTTCGCTGCGGGAATATAGCCGACAATTTTTTCTACTGCCGCGCCCATTATTATGTGATTGAGATAATGAGATGGAGGAAGTTTAGAGTCAAGTACTGAGCGCTTTGATTGAGCGATGAAAGCTGTATTCATATGAAGGGTACAGGGTTTGTGACGAAAAGACTTTACTATCAAAGTATTTTGAATTTGAAAAGTAACTCTAGAAAAAAGGTTGATGCTTTCATTTAAAAATGTCCCATTAGATCTCTAGGATACGCATGCGATGTCAAAATACCAGCACTAGATAAGAACTTCAAACAAAGCTTCTTCTTAGGAAATCTCCCATATATGTCAGTACAGATCACTATCATAGCTCAGTGATATTCTGCTAATATTCTGCACAATCCCCTGATCAAACGGCTTTGTGTCTCTAGTTGATTGACGTCTGAGGAAATAAATGGCACTCGGTTTTGGTCTTTGACTTTAGTCGGCTTTGACGAAGACGGAAACGATGATATGTCAGCATTATGAGGGATTGATCTACTAATGGACTTTTGGAACAGTATGACTTTTGATCTAGAGAGAGATCAAAGAAGGTCTACGTGCAAAGCAGGAATAAAATGACAATGAAATAAAATGCAAAAAAAAACGTTTGGGAAATAGTAGGAAATGTTTGGAATTATACAGGGTGTCCCAAAAAGATGTGCACACTGTTTGATCGTTAATAACTGTCTTGTTTTCATGTCTTTTGCCGACCTTGAGGTGCCATTCTCTTTAGCGAGGTTCAACTTAGATTTACAGTATGGAGCGAATTATCAGCCGCTTTTCATTACTGTAGGATTACGGTAAGAACTTCGAGGAGGATTTTGAGCCATTAAAAGCGGTATTTTGCCTCAGAAAGAAGGCCAAACAAGCCAGAAACTCTTGAACTGGGCTAAGCAAAGTCGCTGATTCTAAATATGAAAACTGCACGTCAGGACATTGTTTCTTTCATGAGTTATTTCAGATTTAGGGTAACAACTGATTTTCCGATGTTCGTCAAAAATGTGAATACGCCATCAAGAAAGCTCGAAAAATTGGTGAAAGGTTATGTATTGAAATCAGCACGCTTGAAGACCTTGCTACACAAATTTTCAGATTCTTTTGAAATTATTTCATTAAAAGGCCCACTCTACGGTGACGCTGTATGCTGAAAGTTCATACCGTAATCCTACAGCAATGAAAAGTGATTAGTGATTCACTTCATACTGTCAATCTAAGTTTATCCTCGCTCTACAGAATGGTACCTCAAACTCGGCAAAAGATATGAAAGCAAGAGAGTTATTAACGATCAAACAGTGTGCACATCTTTTTGGGACACTCTGTATATCACTGAAAGCATTCGTAAAATTCCCTCGGAGAATGCAGCACGTTCCAGATAGGAAAAGTCAACCAAGGCATTCAATAGATCTGGATTGAGCACCCCCCCCCCCTCCATTTTCTCGCAGCTTGTAACCATTATTTCGGAAACAGGGGGGGGGGGAGAATAGACAATCACGCCCAAAAAATATGCAAAACTGATGGAATTGGGGCTGAAGGAAATGATTGCAATTACTAGCATTCGAAACAAATCATTGGCGAAATTTTGGGCGCTTTAAAAATTCGTGTTAATGACGGGATGAGTGGGGGGGGGGTGAAGATTATGGACTTTCTTCAACGATAATATAGCCTCATTCCTGATGAGGCTATATTGTCGTAGGTATACAAGGGCAAAGCCATTTTGTCCAGGGATAATGAAGGTTATGGCAAATAATTTTGAGAAGAGTCTACATGAATTATAGTTATTTATTAGGTTGTTACATAAGATTTGTTACACTCAACTGAGAAAATATAACTTTTTCAAAGGATTTCCTTATCAAACTATGTGTAATGTCGCAAATCTTCGATGTGACATGTCACACATAAAAAATCAAATTATGAATTTTTTGGTTTTTTTCGAAGTATTTTTAGCAAATTTCCAGCTTTGGTTATTGAAGTGCTGGAACTTCCAAACTGCCCAGTGGTTGCTAGTAGTGGCGGTCCCAGGATTTCCGTCCTGTGGGAGGGGGAGGGGACGGAAATGCTCTTAGAAGTCATAAAAATCTACAAAGTTGGAAGAGAAGGAAAAAAGATTTTTCTAGAGAATAAAGAAAAAAATGGAGGTTAGAGTGCTCCTATAGAGTTGCCTTTATATTTACTGTAAATCATGCGGTGAGGGGATATATGGTGTCAACCGATACCTCTTTATCCCTTACCCATATATGCCAGATATGAGATCTTGCCGAAATTTCTGGAGTTTTTCAAAGAAAGACGAAGAAAGTGTAACAAAACCTATGTAACAACCTAATATATTAGGTCGTGTAGTAAGTTCTGTCCCATTTTTTGTTGTAGTTTTTTCTTGACAACAGTGACAATATTTGAGATAAAGTCTATATGTTTTTGAAATCTCTAAGCCTGCTCTGTAGGCTCATATGCATCGTTTCCCAACATAGCAGGAAACTGAAAAAGATTTTTATCATCGAAACAAAAAATCCAAAGAGCCGAAAAATCAATTTCCGACATCTTTTCCCTTCATATTTTTCTCGATTTTTTTATTGACAAAACTTATTAAACAAGCCTGACAACAACCACAACAATCTGTTAGACTTTTACAATTATTTTATCACTGTTTGCGCATATTCCCTCCCTTCCACCGGCTATTTAAAGACATTTTTTCAAAAGTCGGCAAAGCAAGACTTTGTCACGGCGATGTTCGCTGTCTCGCATACCCAAGCTGTGTGGCTCCCAAAATTCGAATTTTGAGTATTTAACCTACGAATTCGATAACTTTGAAGCCACAAACCGCCCCTTCTGTCTTTTCTGGATGATCCGCCTACCGTCTTCCCTCAGGATGCCTTCAGATGATTCCCAACACCAACGTTGAAAAGGCGTTAGAAAAAACAATTTTGAAGGTCTACAGAAATGATTTTTCAAAAGTTTCAGCACTGCTGAAGCGCAATAGAAGCTAGAGCATTCTTTGCTTACGCGTAGCAATTTCTTCGAGGCTATTCGCAGGCATTCTGACTAATTAGGAAGGCGACGTAATGTAGTTGTCGAATATGAACTTTCTCCCTGTTTGATTTTCCAAATCTGACGCTGTAAAACTTTTTCAAGTCATCTGGTGCAGAAAACCGAGATGAAAGTTTTAGTGAAGAAGGCTTAGAGCTTTTAAACGCATATAAACAATTTACAGAATATCGAGCAAAATACTGAAAAAAAGCGGAAGAAAAAATGGGACAGAACTTGTTACACAACCTAATAATTAACATGTTAACATGTTTTCAATTGTGGGCAACTCAAAAATATTCGAAAATTCTGCAAATAAAATTGTAGTGAGCCTTTTCCTTCCAAGGTTCGGCTTACTTGCGAGAATGAAAATATTAAGAAGTAGCTAACACTTCATAGCTGTACAGAAACACTTTTTGTCCTCTTCTTTCTAGAAAAAATTGCTGGAACTGCCACTGCCACCCACCTATTACGATAAATATGCGTTGTAAAGGCTCGTAAACAACCCAAGACAATGTCCAAATCCTCATACTGGTAAACAAGTTCCTGCGAAATGTGAATAAGATCTTGTGCATGGATAAGGAAGGATATGTGAATGCCTCTATACGTGACATCTGGACGCTTAGTCAATCAGACTGCAGCCGAGATGGAGCGGCGCATCTGAGAAAATTCTCGGATAAGAGAAAGAGAGAAGAAAAGAGGAGCCGATAAGCGCTCTTGTTCTCACACTCTATAATCATGCATTTACAGATGCAGAATGGGGAAATGCGAAGAAGGGGGGGGGAGTGGGTAGCTCAGTATTGTGTTGTTTGCGAGTTTATGAAAAGGACAGCATGTCAGGAGTGCCACATGAGGGTGTGTAAATGGTGAAACTTTACAAAAATATAGTATCACATAAATGTCTACAATAAAGAATTTGCTAGGATAACGCCGGCTAGCTTCAGCCGCGAACTTGTCAAGCCCCATATAATGAGGTTCTTATACCTTGTAGATTATCATACATATATTATTCTATTACTATTATTATTATCATTATATTTTTAGGTCATTATACCCTATAAATTATTATACACTATTGATATTATTGTTATTATTACTATTATTATTGAAATTATTATTATTATTCATTATACCCTATCTACTGCACCCTATAGATTTTTTGAAGACACCTGGACCATTTCAATCTGATCATCTATGTTTTCATTTGCTATCTCACAGAAAGCTAATTCCGAAGAATTGATTTGTATGCTCCAGTAAATGTCTGAAATTTTTTTTTGAAGGGGAAGGGAGGGGCTGATGATTGGAAAGCCAGGTTATTGCCCCCTCCTAAATCTTTCTTGAGATGCTTCTTTCTGGAGAATGGGAATGGCATGGCTGCAATTATTCATCCGCGAAATTTTTACAAGCGTAGTTTGTATTCTCAAATTTTTAAAATTTATTTCAATGATCTACAAGCAAAAACAAATCACTTTTACAGATTTGTAGGACATTTTACAGCCGAGTTTGTAGCTC